TCAGTTGAAATCTATTTGCGTCCCTTTATGAAGCTGAAGGAGCCTAGGAGCGTCAAAACTGCAAGCCACGGGACCCTGACCAAACGTCGCTCCTGGACGATTATGGAGTGAGAGTGTGTTGGCGCAACATGATTGCAGCGTCCAGGCAGCTCCCGTTCGAGCATATGCCTTGAGTTGCACATAGCTCCAACACACACACACACACACACACACACACACACACACACACACACACACACACACACACACACACACACACACACACACACACACACACACACACACACACGTTCAGAGGTTGCTGTGTTTAATATTCATGAGAATATTTGTCATTGTTCAAATGATAATAAACATTTGCATAAAGCATATTTGTCCACTCATATGTTGATAAGAGTATTAAAAACTTAATATAACAGATATTCCTCTAAGGTACATTTAGAACAGATAAAAAATGTGCGATTAATCGCGATTAACTATGGACAATCATGCGATTAATCGCGATTAAATATTTTAATCGACTGACAGCCCTAGTTGGAACATTAAAGCTTATAATCATGTCACATTAGATGCACTAAATACAGATATGAACCTGAAAATCTGAATAATATGTCCTATTTAATATTGCATACATTTAAAATATACTGGATATACTGTAGGCAGCAAGATGAGCCTTAATTGACTTGTCTTTCGTAATGGCTGTTTTCTGTGTTTAACTCTGTTGGCTTCAATAGAATAACGGCCTTTTTACATTACATTGCAGTAATCACAGTAAGTTGCATGTTGTGTTTATGGTCTTTACAGACGAATGCAATGAAACAATACCTTTGCACTTGTAGCCCTGTTTGATGATTCCCCACAGCTGCAGGTCCAGAAATGTAGAGAATGGGAATTAGGAACACAAAGCACAAAACATAACATAAGAATAATAAAAGCATGGAGGCATGTTCCAAAAGCCTAGTCATGACATCTGTGAGAACTCAATAACCAGGCACTGCTGCTGAAAACTACACATGTACCAGGCCATTAGTAATATAATCCAACCAAGCAGAGAGATCCAGTCTGTGGCTGAACTGGACACGTGTCATGACCCATATGTGGTCTTAATGCAGGCCGGTCACTAATTACAATATTTGCAATATTTACAATAATTACAATATTTGCCTGTTTATTGCTAAGAGAAGAAAAGAAGGCATGAAAAATTACAGTGACAGAATGTTAGAGATACACACAAATCCAGCACAATGTTCACAGAAGGTGGGCTTCAGGTATGTCATCTCCTGGAAGTTGTGGATGAAACCTGGACCCATCTTACACTGGAGCAGTGGGTTGGCCCGGAGGAAATACGCTATCATCTCGTCCTTACTGATCAATCCGTCTCTGAGAGGAAGACAAGGAATAGAGAAAGAAAGACAAGACAGTGAGCAGGAAATTAGAGAAGATCTTTAGATACATTATTATTATCATATTATTTATCCAGGAGATTAAACTAAAATTACAGAGCAAAGAAGTGTTCCCACCTTTCCATCTAACATGAGAAAAAAAAATCTATATTAAAGCAATTCCAATACCAGTTTTTACACATTTGATTCTGAAGGAGCTCATCTTAAAGTCACTGTAAGCTACAGCTACTCTAAAGCCACTGAACTCATTGTTATGTGGTGAAGGTTATCACACCACAATAAGAAAGAGTGGTTGTGGCTGGGGAACAGCTTTCTTGATGCAGATCACTTCTGTTTTTTTAAAAACAAGTTTGAAACTAGAAATGTTCCATTATTTGGAAAGTAGCTACGCTACCCAGCATCCACTGGGAAATGAGGTTAAACTGTGTTGCATGCTTTGACTGCTGTTATGAACTCAGACAATCAGGATGTAGGACCCAATTGCACAACCCGGGAGACAGAGGTAAAGTATTGGTAAGATACTTAATTTTTTCCAAAAAAGCAAGATGAACAAAAAAAGGTCACTATCGAATCTCAGGTTGAGATGCCAAAAATTGAGAACAAAATGAAATCGCTCACGTAGTGAGAGCATAGAGCATAGACCTGACTATGGCAAGAGACAAGACGAACTGACACTGAACACTGGGAGACAGGGGAATTTAAACACAGGATAACAAGAAACAGGTGGGAACAATCCGGGGCGGGGCTGGTGCTGATGAGCACAGGAGACAAACAAGGGAAACAGGTGAACACAATCAGACAATTAGACACACCAAGGAAACTAACGACAGGGAGGAAAACACAGGGAGAAGGACCAGACAATACACAAGGAGGAAAACATGACAGGGAGAACAGAACAGCAAAACACCCATTACCAGAGACACCAAACTAAAACCGTGACATGACATAAGAATCGTGACAACTGCAATGGACTAAAACTACAGTTAAAAGTGTAGTTAATACTGAAGTGAATTATTTGAACATGTACACTCACTGATCTTTGTCCAGAACGCAGAAGGAGTCCAGGAAGGGGAAATTAGCAGCAATGCTCTCAAAGTCCTCTTGAGAGATATAGCCATCATGGTCATGGTCATAATTCCTGAACACAGACTTCCCAATGACGAGAAAAATAAATTAACACACACACACACACACACACACACACACACACACACACACACACACACACACACACACACACACACACACACACACACACACACACACACACACACACACACACACACACACACACACACACTTCTCTACATCTTTCCAATCAATGCATTCTGTAGGTATAATTTGAAGAGGTGTGTCGTCCACTTACATCCACCACCTTCCTGATGTGTTTGTTGACCACAGAGGGGTCCGGTTTGGTCGGGACCCCGGAGGCCCAGTCCAGAGGGACCAGGGGCTTGTTGGGAGTTGTTGGAGAGGTAGGCTGTGAGGAAGGACAAGGTACACGGACACAGGAATAAATTCAGCAAATAATCTGTTGCACACCTAGATTTCCAATTCTCCTAATAGAGTGGTAACATTGCCATGGCTCCCTCGACAAGAATACAAGTTTTTTTCATTTGGATTTGGATTATTGTAGTAAATACACTCTCTGGGATATAATCTCCACATATTAACACCAATTTATGAATGCAAATAGGAGAAGTAAAAAGCTAAGGTTTCTTTGTAAACAAACTACTCACGGTCACTTAAATTCACTTCACAAAACGGGAAACTCTCTTCAGCTTGTGTTAACCACAAACCTTATTCCAGGCTAACAACCAAAAACGCATTCGAAAAATTATTGAATTTGAGACAAAGGAGCATGAAATGGTAAAATGCTAATTCAAATACAGGTTTTAGTTCCTGCACCACTATATAGTTCCAAAGGGGTAACAAATGACAAATAATACAAATACACTACCAGTCAAAAGTTTGGACACACCTTCTGTGTGTTCATTAGAATTTTTTTATTTATTTAAATGTTGTCTATATTGTAAACTTATACTGAAGACATCAAAACTATAAAAGAACACATGGAATTATCTAGTAAACAAAAAAGTGTTAAAGAAATCCAGAATATGATTTATATTTAGATGGCTACTGCAGAATGTTGTGGTAGCCATGCTGGTAAAGTGTGCCTTGCATTTTGAATAAATCACCAAGAGTGTCACCAGACAAATTAAGAAGGCAAGTCATTCCACAAATGGACTCTTGACAAGGCACACGTGTTAATTGAAAACCATTCCAGGTGACGACCTCATGAAGCTGACTGAGAGAAGCCAAGAGTGTGCAAAGCCGTCATCAAGGCAAAAGGGGGTTACTTTGAAGAATCTAAAATATAAATCATATTCTGGATTTTTCCACACTTTTTTGTTAACTAGATAATTCCATATGTGTTCTTTCATAATTAATTAAAAATTAAATAAAAAACTTCGAATTTGAAGGTGTGTCCAAACTTTTGGCAGGTAGTGTATGAACAATTGTAAGTTGTCAAACAGTGCAAATCCTGAACATTTTAGCATACCTATAAAGTGTATCCAGCATGCACACAGTGTGGACAAAGCTGAACACAAAATACATTCGATCTGAAACTCACCAATGATTTGTGGTTACGTGGTTCCCTTAGTAATGACAACTCATAAATCTCATCTTCGGTGTAATAAAGGTCTAAAGAAAGCTGAAAACAAAAGGGTTTTGGATATCATTAGTTTAATCTATAAACAATTGAGTATAACACAGTAAGCTTTAGTTTAATGTATAGACTATTACATATTGATTAATCACACTGTTGGAAATATATAGCACTGATTTTTTTTTTCTTGGAATACACTGATGTGGTGCTTCTCCATTATTAGATCCAATACACAGAGCACTTCACAGTAGATTTGGATATGTTTTGTGATCTGGAGCGCAGTGACAGGTCCTGGGTGTCAGGTAGCAAAAGCCGATGTCAAACATATATTTTTCTGGTTTGTCCTGTGGTGTTAAACCCATCTATTTTTGGGGGCTTATATTAGTTTTATGCAAGTTACAAAAAAGACGAAATACATTTCCGTCCTAAACCCAGGCCAATGCTTTTATTTTTTGACCAACAAAACTATTCTGATAAATATCTTTTGCAACAAAAATGCTTGACAACAGTTTTTAAATCCTTCTTACTCTATTTACTCCTCTTCCTCTCAGAAGAAGCTGTGCTGAATATGATTGATGTTGAATTGAAACAGAAACAAAAGAGAAAGACAGAGATACATCTTTTTTTCTGTTGTAAATGTGATATTTGGCCAATTCCTTATATATGCACACACATTTTGCCAGCATTAAATGCTTCCCCTCAGGTTCTATGTGTGGAGGGGGGCCCTCACCGTCAGCAGGTAGATCAGGTCCATGTTGGGCTCCACTTGGGCCACCGCAGTCTGCAAGGACACCAACTCGTTGAAGGTCATGTAGAGCTGATGCATCTTCACCAGGTTCACCTCATTGCTGTCATGCCCCCAGTCAGGGAAGACCACATGCACTGCGATCAGGTCCTTCAGGTGCACCCCCAGGATGGGGGTCTTAAAGCCCTGGCACTCACTGAAGGCCTTCCGGTAGCAGGAGTAGTTGTTGTTGGAGGACACCAGCTCTGTCATTTCGCTCCACATCTGGTTTATTTAACGATCAAATGAAAAAATAAAGGGTTGTGGCAATTTATGGAACATGCATACTGGACCACAGCCACAGCTGATCAAATATCAGCTTTTTTAAGGATTACATATTTTATAGATCAATGAAGGTAAAAGGTCATGGGATTAGTCATGCAAATCCTTCTGCCACCTTGTGTCAACATTCTGTTAAAAACATTGTGTGGATTTTTGTGCTTACTGCAGCATATTTCTTTCAGAATAGTTTGAGGATTCACTAGTATACCTGCCTGGAGGCAGCCTCTATGTGTTTCGATGTGGCTGACTATCTACCTGTGAAGACTGCTGCTTCATAGATAACACGGATGAAATCTTTCATCCAAGTTCATAATTTAGGCTACATAATTGTTTTAACTAATTACATGATCAACGCAACTTGAACGACCACATCACACCGATGAGAGGACTTGCTTGATCTTTTGATTGCGTTATGTTCCCTCGCATGCTGAGATTCTCAGAAGCTTTGCTCCTGGTCCTTCCATGGTTCAGATTAAATCACAAGGCAGACAGAGCCTCTCCACTCTTTTTCATTTATCTAATTCCCCTCCTCGACTCCCCTCCTCGACTCCTATCCTCAAGACTTAGTCCCGCCCACAGGAGATGCGAGCGGAGGAGTCGAGGAGGGGAACCGAGGAGAGAGGAGGGGAAGCAGCAGGCGGTTAGAGAAATGAGAACTCCTCTCCTCTGAGCGGTCATTTTAAAGAGACGTCCATTAATGATGACAGGAGGCACAGCAGCCCTCTGTCTGATGGACAGATGTGTTCATGACGACTTATATATTTACTTTTAATTCATTCACAGTGCGGTATAATGAGACAATAACAGGCTACAGATGCGGGCGGACACACACACACACACACACACACATATATATATTTATATAATATACAATTTCAGATTCAAACAAGTATGAGAGCACTCTCATAATAACGTAACACTATCAGACTTATCGTCACCACAATGAGGAAATGAAATTACGGGCCAAACGTTTTATTTACAAGTATTAAAAGTAAGCATAGGACACCAATCCAACTGAGACCTGTCTGTCCGCATCTGCACACACACACACACACACACACACACACACACACACA